CACCGTGTATTTCTATCGATGCGGGGGTAATGGTCCCGAGTTCCAGTTCAAAACTGCGCCATCTCAGTTTCCGGTTACTTTTGCTGTGGCTGGCGACTTGGGTCAGACTGGATGGACTAAATCGACTATAGACCACATAGAGCAGTGCAAATATGATGTTTATGTGCTTCCTGGAGACCTCTCTTATGCTGACTACATGCAGCATAAGTGGGACACATTTGGGGAGCTAGTGCAGCCACTTGCAAGTTCAAGACCCTGGATGGTGACACAAGGGAACCACGAGAAGGAGGAGATACCAATCTTAAAGGATGGATTCGTATCTTATAACTCAAGATGGAAGATGCCATTTGAGGAGAGTGGGTCTAGTTCAAATCTGTATTATTCATTTGAAGTTGCAGGAATTCATGTTATCATGCTTGGTTCCTATACTGATTATGACGAGTACTCTGATCAATATAGTTGGCTGAAGGTTAGTTGACACAATATTTTCTTGCCTGAAATTGTACTAATTAATTTTTTTTTTGATTAATTCATTGCGTGTTGATGCTTTAGAGAAACAAGCACGGCATTTAGGTTTCATTACTTTATACATGACCAGGGGTCGGGAAATTAATCCTTTAGGTAAACTTAGGTGATTGAATAATATTGGATGATTTTGTGTCATGGGCTGATTTTTTAACTATCACAACGCAAATTATTTCTCACTCCTGCAGTGCCTTCTGCTGCTCCTATCCTAAGACCAGTCTTTCTCTATCTCTAGACTTAATGATTATCACTAATTTAGTATGAAGAGCTTACTACTGGACACCTGAAAGCCTCACGTGCTCCACTTGGTACCAACACTTGACTATCCTCAATGCTCATTCTCATCAAGGTTCCAACTCCCATGTCCAGATTATCTAGATTGTTTGTTTGGGTTTCCTTTGCTTAGGGTCCATTTTATACATCTCTTATGGGCATATGGCAAATAAATATCCAAGAACTGAAATCTCTTTCCCATTTTCAAATAGATCGGTAGGTTCACTTGACATTGTCTGGGCAATCGAACTTCTTTGCCGTGAATAAACATGGTATAGAACTGGATCGTGAAAAGGGTGTAACATTTTGCTATTATTGGAGCATGATTTTTTAAGTTGATCTCGTGCTGATATGACTGAATTGTTTATGTAACTTCAAATTGTAGGCTGATCTTTCGAAGGTGGACCGTGAGAGGACGCCCTGGCTCGTTGTAGTATTCCACGTGCCATGGTATAACAGTAATCATGCTCATCAAGGTGAAGGTGACGACATGATGGCATCCATGGAACCGTTGCTTTATGCAGCTAGTGTGGATCTTGTGTTTGCTGGTCATGTGCATGCTTATGAGCGCTCGGTAAGCTACACCAGCGATAGCTTCTATTATATTTGATTTATGGGTATTTGACCTTTCAATTCTATTCTGCAACAGAGACGTGTTTATAATGGTAAATCAGATGCCTGCGGACCTGTCCACATAACAATTGGTGATGGAGGAAACCAAGAAGGTTTAGCACACAAGTAAGTCGACTTAGTAAGATTTGTTCATTACAAAGCCAAGCAAGAAAACTATAAACACTCGTATCTGTAACTATAAATTTATTTATAGGTACTTGGAACCCCAACCTGAGTGGTCGATCTTCCGTGAAGCAAGCTTTGGTCACGGCGAGCTCAGGATAGTGAACTCGACTCACGCGTTTTGGAGCTGGCATAGGAATGATGACGATGAACCAGTTAGGTCTGATCAAGTCTGGATAACCTCTTTGGTTGGTTCAGGGTGCCTTGCTGAAAGGAGTCATGAAGTGAGAAACATACTCGTGGAACCTTAAATCGGTCGACTTGGGATGTACTCCTTAGGCATATGTAAATGCTTGCCCTTTTCTTGGGACGGCCTAGTTTCTTTATGGATCATTAGCTCCAAATTTTTTCACCGGCATGTCTACGTTTGTAATATGGTAACGATGGGTTACTTAATCTCATCCACGATATTATCCTATTTGGCTACAAGCATTTATTGAGCAGACCAACGTTCTCTTTGACAGCGCGTTGGTCTTTGACAGCTGATTATCCTTTCCATTATATTAACTTGCAAAATAACTTTCTCAAAGCAAATAAACATTGAAGCAACTAAGCAAAGCAAAGGGAAATTTGCAGTCAAATGATGTTGAAATTCTGTTCAATAAGCAAAGAGAAACAACCATCTTTACCCATCATCTTTTGTATACAAATCGATTTCATGAGCTTACAGTTCATGAGATGCTCTGTGTTTCAGAGGCTTTGTTCAATCTTTCATCCTTGCTTCGCCTCTGATCGCCAACCATGGATTCGAACACGTGCAAGAGACCATCTAATCCTTCAGAATCTTCCCCTAAAGCCTTCATTGCATATACAATGCTTTCGATTGTGGACAAATATCCAGCCCTCGGCTGATGTCTCACTTCACTATACAAGCTCAATTTATCCAAATCCAACCTTAAATGTGGCAAAAGTTTCAACCATGGGTTCTCACTGTACACTCTCTTTGCCTTGGCCCACGTTCCATCTAACACAATCAAATTCCTCACCTCGAAATCTAACCCCTCAATGCCAACTGAGTTTTCACTCGGAAACAGAAGCACTGATCCAGGAGGAACTACAGCTTCAAATTCTTCAGTTTCTTGGTACTCATTGCTCACATCCAATGGCTTTCTCAGAAGCCTTTTTACAACAAACCCTTTTCTTATATCACCAATGGCCACATCAGATGACAATAGAGCATCAAGATTCATTTTTTGTTGTTTGTTTGGGTCCATTGAACAATGATAGAAGGATCTAATAGCTCCATACTTTTCAATAGTAAATTCGAATAAAGTTTCATTGGGACCTCGAGAAGCTGCTTTTTCTTTACCAAACACTTCGTCCATTACACCTGATTCTAACTTGGAATGGATGCTTCCACTCATCATGAAGTCCGAATTTCGCGAGAAAACTGCATTGTTCTCGCAAATCTTACGCATTTTCACACCATCAAAATCAACAAAATCGAACCCCAATTCTCCATTTCCGGAAATTGAGGCTCCAACACAATCATCCCTCTCTCCTTGACATGGCATTTGCCCCAAAAGAAGGCCGCTTTGTTCCCAATCGACACGATCGATTTTATAACTCGGGTCAAGTAATCTAATAAGGAAACGAGCCTGTAAATTAACATCAGAAACTGAAATCACGTCGACATTTTTAAGCCCCAAAGTTGCGATTCTGGCGGAATTAAGAGGGTGCTTTTTCTCAAGGCTGTGTTGAAAAATGGTAACGGTTACAGAGTTATCAAGCCTCGGAGTCTTGAGCCGCACACAGAGGCAAATACGGGTCGGTTTGGAGCATGATGGACAAGTGGGTCTCTTACTGGCTCCGCATTGAGTAACCATTTGGGGAATTAGGGTTTGGATTCGAGGAAATCTGAGGATTATGTTACGTAATGGATTGAGAAGGAAGTATAATGGCAGGGTTCCGGGTCGCAATCCGATTGGGATCCGAACTTGGAGTGACATTCGATCCATTCATTTCACATTGTGGGTTGATCCGATTGACAGAATTCAGAAGCAAATTGAATAGTAATTGAAGAATGTCATTAGGAAACCCTAGATGGAGGGAAGTTGAATTTAGAAATTAAATACGACATCGTTTGGTATTTATTATTTTATCCTTTACCTAATGAATCTATAGAAATCAGAAAGTTAAAAGAGTATATTTATCTCGGACAATTCTTGTGGTACATTATGGGATCCATAAGGGTTTACATAATGGACACTTTGCCGCCTACAATTGGTTGGAGTGTTGGTCCCACAGGCACTCCCACCAATTGTAGGCCGCAATGTGTCCATTATGGATCCCTTAATGTACCACAAGAATTTTCCATTTATCTCTTCTTCAATCAATTATTATTACTTTTTTTTATTAATTTCTTATTTTTTGTACTCGTAAACATGTTTGAGTTCATTATTTTATTGGGAAAATCCATTCGTATACTTTTGTGTACATTAACTTTGACACTCCTCTCACAAAAGAGTGTAGAACCCATGATTTTTTAAATTGCGGGCCCCCACCTTTATGAGAGGAATGTCATGCATGATGTACACTAAAGAGTGTACACGAAGCATGACTATCAAAACTCAACTTAAGTCTTTTATATGATGGAGGTCTTGGGTTCGAATTTTGGAGGACGCGTCAGAAAGCTGTAAGGGGATAAGTAGGCAGAAGTCCACTCTAGAGCGGACAATACGTAAGATATGATAACAGTTTCGACACAAGGTCGGGTCGTTACAAAAAAACACGCTTTTTTTTTGTAACAACCGACCTTGTGTCGGAGCCGTTATCATATCTTATGTACTGTCCGCTTTGGGAGGGCTAGACCCATTTTATCCCTCACGGTTTTCGACGCGTCCCTCAAGATTCGAACCCAAGACCTCAATCATATGAGAGATTTAAATTGAATCCTGGTACTAATTGAGCAATTTGTCCCATTGGTAGTTAAAAAAAAAAAAAATTACTTTAAAGAACATTCTTACCTGATTTTTAAGTTAACTTGTTTCGACTAATGAAAATTAGGTTACACTCTATCAGACTATCTCTGTCAATTTATTTAAGATATTATTTGACTTGAACGTTAAAATTGACAGAAGCCCAAAGTGTATGTCCGCATCACAATTCACACGATAGTGTGGTTGGAACTTCGTCATCCTTCAAATTTGCGTTTAAAAGTGTGAAACAAAATTTTCAATTCATATATTTTATAATGCACATTTTTGAAAGAATTAGGTGATTTTATTGTCGTATGACGTTGACATACACATTACCCTTTCATTAATTTTAGGAAACAATCATGTTTGGTGTGCATCGTAGTGTACACCAAATTTTATATTTCGACACATGTCAACTTACCATTTTATAGTAGAGTGTGTTTGAGCCACTTATTTTGGAAGAACGTATTTTGGAATAGTAGATTGATGGAGAATGTATGATTGAAAAAGAAGGAAAAGTTATTGATGTGATGAAAAATATTATTTTATTGAAAAATGTGTGGTTGAAAATGAGTAGAAGAATGAAAATTAAAATTTCCTTTTGTATTGATTCAAACAGGGGCTTGATTTTTGAGCCACATTATTTTGGAAGAATGTATTTTGAAATAGTAGATTGATGGAGAATTTATGATTGAAAAAGAAGGAAAAATTATTGATGTGATGGAAAATATTATTTTATTGAAAAATGTGTGGTTAAAAACGACTAGAATAATGAGAATTAAAATTTTAATGTGGCTCAAACAGAGGCTTAATTTTTTTTCACCAATCAAATCTTGCCACAAGGATGATGTCAAGCATGACGTAAAAATGTGATGTACAAGTGACTTTATCTTTTAGGAAAATGCCACTTGCATACTCTTCCTTGACATAATTGTTAGACATTTGTGCATGTTCGCAAGTGTTGATTGGATACAAAAAGGGTCAAAAATTTAAACTATCTAATGGTGCGTAAGTGGTGGCAATGGGTCGAGCCGAGCCGGCTCGGCCCATGATAGCACGAGCTCGGCTCGTGGCAAATTGGGCGAGCTTGGCTCGTGGCCCGAGCT